CGGGAACTGAGTTGAGCTGAGCTGAGCTGAGCGGAAACTGAGCTGAGCTGAGCTGAGCGGAAACTGAGCTGAGCGGAAACTGAGCTGAGCGGAAACTGAGCTGAGCGGAAACTGAACTGAGCTGAGCGGAAACTGAGCTGAGCTGAGCTGAGCGGAAACTGAGCTGAGCTGAGCTGAGCGGAAACTGAGCTGAGCTGAGCTGAGCGTGAGCGGAGCGCAGCCGGTTTGAGCGGAACGTGAGCTGAGCTGAGCCGCGTTAAACTGAGCGGGAGCTGAGCGGGAGCGGATAAGACGGAGTTGAGCTGAGCGAGCTCACTTTTTTCTTGAGCTGTCACAAGTCTGTTCGTTACACCCTGTATCCTTCTATAGGCTATTTTACTGATACGTCAGTCATATTACATTTAGGTAATTATGTCACTTTTGTCATCCTGAGGCTCTAAATGAATGCTTGCTTAGATCAAAAGGAATGACAAAATCGTGGCCAGTGACTTCAAATACAGCAACTGAGACTGACCATGTGTAAACGTCAACCAAAGGCCATTCGAGGTCATATGAGGTCAACATAAAACTTGACCTTTTCAAACAACCTATATGGCATTCGACGCGTCTTGACATGACCAATGCGTTGGTCACTGCTTTAGGTCTAGGACCTTTTTTGGTGAAGAAATCTGCAAAAAAGCCGCAGCTCGGGGTCGCTAACCTAACCTTTGACCTAATGTCGCTAACCCTTTGACCTAATGTAGGTTGGTATAAAAAATGTGTTTTTATTTTTTTCCCGAAACCACTAGGCATTCGGGGGCTATCGCAACTATTCGTCCGAGGTGTGGGGGAGGGGAGGACGAAAAACACCCTCCCTGGGTCCGCGTGAGTTAACGCATCTGACGAATATTACGGCTGACAGAATGTGTCCGTACAAGTCGGGGACCCGTGGCGACGCCCCTGCCAGCCGGGGAGGTCGCTGCTGTTTGACAAGCCATCACATTTCATTGACACTTATGCGTGGTAGATTCCTCTATAGAGGTAGATGCGTGGCCTCCAAACGTGTTCTCCTTTCTCAATACTCGGTTGTCGATCTTCGGGATTTGGCATAATAACAAACGCTCCCCACCCAAAACTCACCAAACCTGTCTCACCCGCTGTTTGTCCTCACCAGGCGTGGCCGACGAGGGCCTGGAGCTGCTGCAGAACTACATTAACGTCAGCGGCGACGTGCAGACGGCGGCGCTGATCGCCTCATACGCCGGCCAGGCGGCCGAGAGGCGCGTCAGCGTCTGGATCGACAGGTGAGGCGGACCGAATGGCTGCCCCAGCCCCGAGATCCTTCCTTTCATACACCTCGCCCATTGTGTAAAGGCTAACGTCCCCACATCGGCCGAGCGTTTGAGGCGTTTATTTTTTTTGTTTAAGCAAAACAGCCTACTCGTTATGTTAAGCTAATAATATGAAGTGACTTGTTCCGACTTCCGAGTCGAAAGCCACTTGGGTACCTCGTCATGGAGACAATTCCTTCTACCTCGAGTAGTCGTTTTACAGAACCTGGCAGGACCCTAGATGGTCAAGCTGCATCGCGTTTATGCTGTGTGTCTATAGCTTGGTGCCAGCATTGTACTTTGGTGCTAACCTATGCTCACGAACTGCGGAACTGACAAACGCAAAGGAAGGCAAGTGATAAAACGCCGCAGTTGATTCTCATGGGGTCAAAGAAGTGCGATGGCCGGGAATCGAACCCGGGTCAACTGCTTGGAAGGCAGCTATGCTCACCACTATACCACCATCGCCTGAGAGTATCTGTGACAACTTCGTGACCGAGCGGGCTGGTCATGTTTTCCCTACTTTCAGGGCGAGCGAAACGCCCTGCCTGTTGTTTCGCTCGTAGACAGCGAGCTCGGCCATAGAAGCCTCGACTGCGCCTATGTCCAATCCTTCAACCGTATGTGCCTGGTCGTGCCTCCTGCACCGCTGCTTTGTGTCGGCTAGTCGTCATATTTTGTGTGTGTGTTTGATCACTCAGCTACCGGGCGCTGTTGGGCCTGTGGCGGCCGTGGAGGCATTGCTGGTTGCTCAGCCGTGCGTATGTCAGCCGGTCATTCATTGTTCTTGGTTTCTACTCTCCACAGCTACCGGTCGCTATTGGACCTGTGGCGACTGTGGAACCAGAGGGCGCGGTTCGACGTCCGTGTTCTCAGTCAGACCGCCGGCGTGCAGCAGTACCCCAAGCAGGCGAGTGCACCGGCAACTAGTGCCAGGAGTGATTGATCATGTCCGTGAAGTCGGCGTCGACGTCAGTGACTTTTTGAGCGACGAAATCCGATTTGCTCAAAATAGCGTATGAGGTTAATAGAACACGAGGATCACAGTTAACGGACGTGGAGGTAGGTACAGTCAAGTCGGCGGCGGCGCGCCAGAATCAGAAAGAACGGTTAGGTAACTAGGCCGAGATTGGCAACCCTTTATTGAATGGCTGGGTAACTGACTGGTGATATGAGTTATGGCTGAAGGCCAGTGAACTTCTTGCTGCGTCGGCGTTCGAGTCCGAGTGCATGACGGTGTTTCTATCTGCCACAGTCGGTGGTAACGTGCAACTTCTGCAACAAGAGCGTGTCTGCCTACATCGACGATATGCGACGCAGACGGCAGATGGCACGAACCGGCGCCAACTCAGTCAAGGTGAGATTTCTAGGAGAGGTCGCAGGCCCCTCTCTAAGGTCAGGTGACCACTGACCAGGGCCCTGTTCGGTCGCAGTTTTTTATCAGCAGGCTGCGAGCACGCTGTTATTTCTTGGCTCCTCATTGGTCAAATTCATGTGGTCTCCTCATTTGACTAATGATAAGCAAAGAAGTGCCAGCAATAACTTCCTTATAGGTATGGGAAAAACCGACAGCATGCTGATAAAAAAACAGCGACCGAACGGAGCTCATTTTTGCACATAGGAACGTATGTTTAACAACTGATAATCCGTCTCGATGTGTGCTGGAGCGGCCTGTCGTTCAAGCAATTTAAAAATATTTAGAGTTTGCTTAATGTTTACGATGACATCTCTTGATTTCCGTTCTCTCTTGTTCCCTAATTGTTCCCTCCGTTCTGGAGCCGTTTTCCCTGCGCATTGCTCACCCGCCTGTCCCTTTCTGTTCGCAGCCAATGTGCTGCCCGCACTGCCGTAAGGCGCTGCCGCGCTGCGCGCTCTGTATGATCCAGCTGGGCACGCCCGCCTCTAGCTGGGGCGCCGCCGGCCAGGGCTCGGCCGACTTCGACTCGTGGTTCACCTGGTGCCAGACGTGCCGGCACGGCGGTCACGCCGCCCACATGGGCGCATGGTTCGAGGAGTACGCCGAGTGTCCCGTCACCGGCTGTCCGTGCAAGTGTATGAGCCTGGACTCGGTCAGCCGTGTGCTACCAGTGACCAACAGCTGAGGGTTGGTGCTCTGTAGAGACTGAGAGGGACGAGCTCTGTGAGGTGCGTGTTCGGAGCGGTGGGAGAGAGAAAGAGAGGGGAGAGAGCGTGAGAGGGGTGGAGAGGGCACAGGCTGTGGATTCATCGGAAGTTAAACGAATGCGAGCGAGACGATATTCGATAGGGAAAAGGTACACTCAGGGGAGCAGTCGATGAGCGAGCGAGAAACAACGAGCCTAGCAGTGAATCAGACGAACGATTTTCAGTGCGGGCTCGCTAAATGTTACCGCTGTGAAGACAAACCAGACGGCATTTTCTGCTGGCTGCTGTGACTTCGCGTCGGACAAACTTTATCATGACGCTGTGGTCGCGAAGCGGGATATTGTGCAATGCTTTGTGTAATGTCCCATTAGAGCTGTTGTTTGGGCTGTCATCGATGTAATACGCGCTTGCTGGGCTGAATATCGGGGTGCGGGATAATTTGTGGTTCGGCCAGTGCTGCCGTATAACGATATTCATACGTCTAATTATTGTAGCGTGCGTTACAATTGGTCGAGAGCTGGTAAACTGAGCGTGCCTCGTTTGTAGCTTGTGTGTGTTGCAGTGTCTCGTCGCCGCACTGGCGATGTTTCGCGATGTTTACGATGTTCGTTTTATGCTGTTCGCGCTGTCGACTCTGGGGGCACAACCATGTCCTGAATTGGAACCCAAGTCGGCGCCGGACTCGAGATCTCTGGGTCCCCGGCGGCGCAGCCGGCTGGCAGGACTCGCCAGCTCAGCATTTTCACGTAGAACATGTGCGTAGAACCCTCAGGATGATTTTGAGCTTCATCTTATGGTGGGGTTCACCCCCGCATGAACGATCCGAGCTTTTCATTTCGGGTGTTCTGTTGTCAACTATGTCGCCTTGCATATTTTGTACCAATGTTAATCCAGCACGAATCTGCCGAGCCCTACGTTTGATTTTGCAAAGGATTTGGAGCTTAGGAATATTTTATGTATTTAGGGCTGAATTTTATGTTTGCTTGTCGTCGATACGTTCCCAGTGAAGCATGTCGTAGATTAACAAATTATGTTTCTCGGAAAACTGAAGCCACTCACTCGTCGGTGTGAGCTTGTCTTATTATTTATATATTTTGTATCTGCATTTTGTATATCGGGTTTGCCATGTAGCAACAAGGGTTTGCCAAATATATGAATCAATTCAACATTATATATTGCATGTGCCTCGCCATTTTCTCAGTTTGTGTCCCCTATTCGACTGTAATTAATTCAAACACGTCAAACTCGAGCAGGGGAGCACGAACAAGACATTGGGTAACGCTATGAACGGCATAATTTCATGCAACTGAGGTGTTTAATTCCAAAGTGCATCTTCCATTGCAGCGCTATTAACGATCACACGCCTGCGCCGCGGTCAATAATAGTCCGTCAGGGGCAGCTCGGGAGTGTCCAACATAACGACCGCTGTCGCCCGTCCATCGCGTGTATCGCGCAAACCTCTGGTAATTGAATCGATCCATCCTTGGCGCCCTCGTTGGTCCATATTGCCGGCTGAATACCGGCACCGCGCGGCCATTCCACCAGCAACGAAAACACTCAATGGTGAAACAGGTTCGTCAGCATGTATTGCCTCGCCTATCGAGCCTCCAGGGCTCTGTGTGGATTGGTGCATACTGCATAGTGATAATGCATGGCTGGTAGGTGACCTCTGGATGAAATAAACGTGTTCATTTGCGCATGTCGTACACAGTACGTGCGTGTTCATAAAACGAACCACTGTGCCATGCTCCGGCTCCACAGCTCGAATAAAATAAACATGCGCACTAACCATCCGAATGCTGAATGCACATGCGCGGATAAAACAGGAAACGATGCCCGGATGTCCGGTTCGATAACAATGTGACAGATTGGCCTGAACCAGGCCTTTTCAGTTCTTCTACCGAAACAAAACCGATCACAGAAAAATAACTTGCGGGAATATTCATCTCATACGCACGCAAACACATACACGCATGGACAGTTGACTGTATAGGGGAGTCCGTATTGCACGCGAGGGATGGTCACGGACACAAGACACGAAACAGTCGACAGACGCTTTGGGAACCACGCCACATCATATCCAGGACACAGACCTGCCGCTCGCGTGACCACGCATCACATTCTGTCCACGATGGCGTGCACTAAGGCTCACAAGCACGCCTCTCCACGTCACCCATGGAGAAAATGAGTGTCACATAATCACTGAGTGCGAGTGCTGAGAGGACATGTGGTTCATTTCACCACACTCGACCCATCAATGGCACTTGAGCGACACCTTGTCCGCAGTTGCCAGTAACAAATACTGCCGTAACACCCGTGAGTGGACTCGTGAGTCGCATTCGCAACACCACAGGTGCTGCTTTGCCTTCGGCGTGTCGTCTTTCACTGAGGTCGATCGCTAACGTTCACACCAAACGTCGCTGATGTGTGTGCGCCACATCGCTAATGTGAAGTAACAACACGTCAGATCCACTGACGTCAAGATGCCACGTCATCCGGGGTGTCTGACGTGTGGATGAATCACGTCACGTGTATCGTCACCGTCCAGTCGCCGCCACTCCAGCACATATCGCGTCTAGCCGGCAGAACAACACTATTGCTGTAGTTTTAGCGTATGTAGCCCGCGCAGTGCTGCGACATAGAGGATGTGCCATGGCACGCTCTCGTCACCAGTACCGTTTCGGCAGTGAGAGTCGGCACCGGCCGGAGTCCGCTCTGACGACTGGCGGTTATACAATGTCCGCTCGGGTGACGGGCGGTTACTTCGCTTCTACTCCGGCGGCGGGCGGTTATATCGTGTCCGTTGTGGGCGCCGCTGCGTACTTGGGTTTCCCCCACGAGAACGGCAGGTAGTTGTACCGCAACATGTGCTGCCGGAGAAAACAAAGCGTCAACATCGGTGGACGTGTGATTCATATCGATTTCACATGAATAAATCTGGTACACGGTGCAGCTCGCGTGTCACAAAACATTTAACACAACGACCAATAGAAATATTATTTCCGTCCGCTCACTAGCAAGTAAGTAAAAGATTAAAAATCCCTGCACAACAATGGATCGATGACCTCCCTGCATAGGTGCATTGATCCTGCACCATGCAGAAACAGCGGACGTACCTTGATTTGCCGCTTCATGGTGATGCAGAAGAGCGTGATGAAATACATGACCAGGATAGGCCAGAAGACGGGGATGTTGAAGACCTGGAAGGCGGTGAAGCAGAACGCGATGGTGGTCGCCTTCATAACGCTGTACCAGAATTTGAACTCGGGTAGTCGCCGCTCGAACGGTCGGAATTCGTCGGTTGACCGCGTTGGAAGTGCCGGGCCATCCTCTGGCAGAGCGGTGGACAAAGCGAACAATGTAGGTACAAGTCAACAGAACAAATGAACTGCACGTGACATATCTACCCACTACATATTAGGGAGCATAAAAGCAAGCGCCTGTACCTACTGCAGTAGTTGTCACAACAACCGAATAAATGACGCTAAAAAACGCCAAGTATTGCTATTGCCATCACCAAAGTAGGTATCTAAAAGTATCTTACCGTCATCGTACATCATGGCCAGTCCCGGGTCGATTTTCGGCGACAGGAACGCCAGCAGCAAGTTTAGATGATAAATCGCCAGGGCATAGGTGACTACATACCACCCCTGTAAAAGGAAATATTGGGCTGTAACAAGGTGACACATTTGTCAGTATAAGAGCTGCTGCTCTTCCTGTCACTCAAATTGCTAATGTGGGACGGCCATTTTGGTCGCCCTCGTCGGAGCCGGGGTCCGAGGATGTTGTTGGTGGCTCAGTCGGTAGAGGAATGAGATAGTTTAAAAAAATGTATATTTACAAAAGCATGGGCTTTGGGGGCCTCCATCGGGAATGGGAGGACTCGTTTTCTTCACATATCTTCCCTCCCCAACAAGCCGACGAAAGGAGTCGACCAATCAGCAATCACGGTCCTAAACTGCATTAACCCACAGATCACACTGCGCACGGAAAGCCAAGCACGACTGCTACCGCCAGTGCTGCTACTGTTGCTGTTCTCCGATTTGATTATCTTGTCATCGTAGTCGTCGTCGTTATCGTCACTGCGATGTTCAGCCGTTGTCGACGGAGGCGCCAGACACCGCTGCGGGTAGATCGCCGTGGCGGTTTGGCCAATGTCAACGAGGCGCTTGCTGCCGCCACACAGCACGGATGATGTTATATATATACCCTGGCACGGATACCAGAAGACGTCAGCATAGCGGAAGCTGGTGAAACAAACAGTGAGGGTGCTGGAGGCCTCGTTGTTGGTCGACTATGCGTTGATGGCGAAGGTGTTCTGCTCAATGCTCAGCCATGTTGATGGCGGCTGGCGGGGGCGACGACAGCGACTAGACGAATTGGCGGAGAACAGCATAGCACGACGTGCAGACGGAGCGACAGCGACGGCAGGCGGCCATGTGGGTCAGCCGGGCGGTGGCGGTGTACCCAGGTCATGGCACCTGCTGATACGAGCCGCTGTAGTCAGTGATGGAGTCCGCTGTTGTAGTGTGCTAAGGAAGATGTACGAGATGTGCTCATCGGCCAGTATTTATCGAAAACAAATACCTTGTCACCAGGAACACTTTTTGCATCAGTCTCCCTTCGCTCTCATGTCGATCATAATTTGGATATTCAGAGCAAACACACGCTGCCCCGGCACAGCCTCCAGCTTCGCACCAACTCACTGGCCGAAACGCATATTGGGATTGGACAGTTTGGCGACCGCATTAACCGCTTTCATTAAATTATACCGGTTTATACCGGCTAAAATAAATAGAAGCCGCTGGCTGGCATAAGTTTAATGTCAGCCGGCTTATATCCAACGCTAAATTTTAAGCAAGGAACCCACCTGTAGCCAAAAATCTTCACCACCGCTGGTACGGATGGTGGGACGGCCCCTTCGGCCGCCCTCGTCGGAGCCGGGGTCCGAAGGTGTTGTTGGCAGCACAGTCGAGAGAGGAGTGAGATAATGTATTTACCAAACCAGTAAAAAACGCCTTTTGGGGCGACCAACGGAGCGAGCGAGAGGGTGGGCCTTGCACGTGCGAAATTGCGAGGGGGTACCTCCAACTAACAATTGCACTGCACCCTACTAACCGGTCCCTAGCCATGTGCCAAATTTCAGCGCGATCGGCCTAGCTGTTCTCGAGATCTGGAAGCGGCACCCTGCACGTGCGCACGTGCAAAATGGGTCCCAACTGATTTTTGCACGGCACACCGGTCCTAACCGGTCCCTAACCATGTACCAAATTTCACCACAATCGGTTCAGCTGTTCTCGAGATCTGGAATCGACCCCTGCACGGGCGCACGTGCAGCAGCACCCCAACTGTGGCACATGGATATGCATTGCCTAGTGGGTGCCTACCTACATGCCAACTTTCAGCGCAATCGGCCAGTAGTTACCGAGATATTGCAATCGTTACAAAACTGAAACATCTTCGTTTTGCACGTGGCACGTGCTTAAGGGGTCACCCACATGCATTGGGTATAGTCCAATACTTGGTAGAAGGAATGAAGCTAAGCTACCCTACAAAAATTACCGCATGTAAATCGGTCCAGTGGTTGCTGAGATATAAGCCTCACAAAAGCGTCCGCACGGCCGAAAGACTACGCACGCTTCGCTCGCTCCGTAATCATGGATTTTTATGTTGGGTGTCGGGACGCTGACACGTGACCGGAAGGGCAGCCGGCCAGGGGGCCGGCGGTCCCGTGTCACTAAGCGCTCCAGACACCCAGACAGATACAAAAAGGAGACCGGACATTTGGGGCCTCCATAGAGAGTGGAGGACTCGTTTTGTTCACTACACTACTGTACCTACCTATCTTGAGGCATACTTACTCTCCAGCACACCTGCCTAAGATGTCATACATGTCAACAGACGATGAGCCTATGTCAAGAAAACTTGACAGGGAATAAGAAAAACAGGCGCATTCCGAGCTCTATCTAAACAGCCAGCCCAACCCCAGCAGCCCATGTCTAAGAGAAGTGAGAACTACTGAATTCTATACATTAATTCACCCAAGATGGGTAGGGGATGCATCCCTTCATAGCACAGATAACTGCACCACCAACATGCATCTATGACAGACCATTCGTACCTGACCGATAATGATGCGCGCCATGAAGAGGACGTTGTAAATGATTGCGATCACCCAGCGCCATTTGACGTGAGGTGTGACATCATCCAGCAGCTTCTGGTACCTCTGCAAATTGAAGCAGGTCAGCTGTGGCAAAATCTTGTGAAAAAGATGGAGGGCATGATAAGCAGAACAACATGACAACAAGTTCCCTTACTATTAATTGATAACTTAATAATTCCTATTCATAATGACCACAGACCAAGAGCTTTGTAATAGAAGACATGATAAGAACATTGAATATATAATGTAATTTGTAAAGGCTAGCACAATCAGCAGTCAGCACTCAGCCTCCCAACATTTCCTGCAGTTGACTCAATGCATACATACCTGGCCAATCCTGGTGCAAAATTTGCTGACTGGTCCAGGCTGGCCAACAGGATCCTCACTGACTTCAATGTTGTCCATCTTAACTTCCGCCAGAGTTGTTCAGATACTTTTTTGGACTCTAGAACATAAAATTGAGTGAAATACTAGACAAAAATGCTAAGAAAATGTTGATACTTACACTGCAGATAAGATGGCAGATCAAAAGAGAACCCAGACCACATGACACACACCTTATCACCTTTAAGTACATAAAGAGAGGTGTCATTTGTGAGCACTTTATCTGATTAACACCACAACATAACATTATAGCAATAGGAGCTACAGGATGATGGGCAACAGGAACAACTATATATCATTTAAGTAAAAAGGAGAACTTGTCCACAGCATATTTTTTACTTAGCATTTTCAGTGCAGGGCTTGATTCACAGGTAATTACATCTACATGTTTAATTACATGTATATAGGTAATGTCATATCAGTATCAGGCCAGATGGAGAAACACAGCAGCTAAACTGACAATCTGCTGCAAGTTCAGTTAGGATAACAAATATGCACCAGCCCAGACCCATGTTGCCCATTTATGCCAGATTATTAGCAAGATAATACCTATAACACCTCAGGGTAAACAGTCACATTTTATAGGCAAAAATAAGGAATCTGCACTGTTGATAAGTTACAATAACAGGAAGGCTTCCCTTTCATTTCATTACTCTTTTGTTTCCTCTGTGCATTATTATTTTCAAGGATAATAGTGCACCATCACCATGGTTTGGCACTATACCAAGTTATGGCCAGCACCATTCAGCACAAAATATTTCCTACTCCCACATTACTGTAAATATGCATGATACTTTGCACTTGCAGAATGCCTCCCTAGTTCCTCATCTACATGAAGCAGATACCATTGACATCTTGAACTCCAATGCCTTGCTAATTAAGCCTTTAAGGATGAGATCATGAAAGCCACTAAAAGCTAAAGCACTCTTTTGGACGGTACCTAGTCAGGAAATTGCATACCAAAGCCTGAGAACCTATTTAAATGCATTAACTCTTGCTTGCTGGCTTGCCTCAATCACTACCACAGGGTGCATCCTGGGAGGCTTGGAGTGACGCAACCTGATAGCTCATTTAGGTAGGCATGTAGACGTAGGTAGGTAGGAACTTAGGTGGATGACAGCCCCTTGCATGCAAATTTCTAACAGCCGTGGTGAACCGGATGAGTTTGTTTCCTTTTAGCAGAATACAAATTTGAAAAATAACTTTGGGTTAGTAAGCTAATGCATTAGCAAATAGGTGCCAATAATTTGCAATTATTTTAAAACGTGTGAAATTCACACCATAACCGTGGGCCTTTATTGTGATATATTGATGCACAGATGATAGCAGTAGTACTAACACTGTATAGGACTGATGTCGATTAGCATATAAATAAATAACCAAACCAATTTTCACATGTTGTGATACTAATTGCCAATTGGATTCATATAATTAAAACGAAAACGCTTGGGGACCTCCGTGTTTCCGACCCATGAATCAACAATTTTTGTTGCCTGTGAGAGGAGATAGGTATCACAGTCATGAGTCAGGGCTCAAAATATTTGGCTGTGTTTTCGGCCTCTTACTGCAGCCGCCGGAATCCTGTTTCCAATCCAGTACTTTTGTTATCTGTAATTAATGACATCTATATCAATATAGAAATGGTGTATAACCAGGCCAGGCTCACCTTGGCGAACAGATCAAGATGATAATAAACACAGGTCCAGAGAACTGCGCTGAGTAGAAAAATGACAAAGAAGCAATTATTTGACTGTAGCAGCAATCTCAACCTGTGTATTTAGAGGCCCTTGTCTCAATTAATCTCAACGACTCAAGCCAAACTCAAGCAAATTCAAATAGGGCCTTGAAATTCAACTTAATTCAATATACCCTGGGCAAGGCCATCTAAAAATATACACGGCCAGGATTCAAGTAAATTATCTGACAAGTCATGAAGGATTAAATCACCCCCAAATTTAAATGAAGAATGACTCTTATGGTGCACAGCAGACACGTCATTAGTCGTTCAATGTCGCAGCTGCGCCATTTTTGAATACCTTGAATGAAGTCATCGAAACGTAAAATATTATCATGGAGGAGAGATATTGGGTTTGTTCCCGTCGCTCCTCTAACCTCCTCCAAGCTCCTCTAACCTCCTCTCGTTTCAAAAAATCGTTCCCGTCGCTCCTCCAAGCTCCTCCAAGCTCATCTTGATTTCACATCTCACCACCACTATTTGCCTCCTCCCTCATCCCAAACGAAAGTTGTTTTTTTTTAGGAGGCTCTTGCGTAGACATATTTGGCGCACGTAATACAAATGTGAATTGTTTATAAATGAGATTTGAGGGAAGTGGAGATGATTTTAGTGATTGATGACGATTGGATATCTTTAAATGGTAATGTTTGATATTAATCTAAGGTAATTTTATTAGAAAGCGATTATTATCTCTTGATTTATGTTTGCGCGCCATAAATCGCCGACCGTTACAGCCCGCAAACAGCTGATTTCCTCGCGAAAATGTTCCCGTGGCTCCTCTGAAACGGCTCTCCCCCAAGCTCATCCAACCTCATCCGAGATTTTTTGGGAGGAGCGACGGGAACAGACCCATTATGTTCATAATAAGAACAGACCATTTTAATATTTCAAAAGAATAATTGGAAAAAAAAGATCATGTTTTATCCCAAACTTTTATCCATAGCTTTAATCAGAATTATGATCAGAATGCTTTTAAAGTGAAATAAAAGTTCAGTTTATAGCTCTTTTTCATTGACCTCTATAGTAACCTAGACGGCCTACTCCCACGCCGCAATCGTTCCCGCATGGGGGCGCAGTGGCGCCACCTGCAAGTGGTCAGAAGTTCCCAGCCCCTGTGGATGGTCTATGTGAAGTGGGTAACTTTTGAAGTTGATTTTTGTGAAAGATACAGCCTGCGGATGGCTGAAAAGGATTGTTATGTAACTGAACATGCTTTCTTGAGGTGTGATGCGCTCGATTGCCAACAGGATGGCTCGAGCCATGCAATAAAGTGCATTATTTCAGATGACCCGGACGCTGGCGGTGCAAAGCATACCTACTGAAACGTGGAGTCTCCCTGCCCGCTGCCGTAGGTTTAAGGCCATGCAGGACCAGAAACGTACCCACTTCCTACTCAGGTGGCAAAAGATGATCATTCCAGATCGATGGTGATCTATATAAGCCAGGGGTCGGCAACGTACGGCCCGCGGGCTGGATTCGGCCCGCGACCATTTGACGTCCGGCTCGCGTCTGGTAACGGCAACTAACATTGCGTTCCGGCCCTCGGTACCTTCATAAACGATTTTACTTTCCGTACATACCAGTCTATTAATTACGCTGTCATATTTCTCAATTTTGCGGGTAACTGTAGCAAATTGCAGCCATGCCATACTCCGGCCCGCCGGCTGCTTCCGAATCGCTTACCTATCGATGGGCGATGGCCCGCACCCAAAAAAGGTTGCCGACCCCCGATATACGGGTAAGCACTGACCGACTATCAGATATGGAATTGCAATTAGACGAGAGGCAGCCGATTATACCTGATTTTAAGGTTCTAGGTCACTGGGTGACCTTCCAGGTCAGGTCAATATAATGACCCCAAAGTCGGGAAAATCGGGACCTGTTAGAACGTTGTAAAGTGTGGCTGCCACGGGGTTTATCGGGCTGCTGATCACGAATATCATGTTAGTTTGGATTACAGATGATGTCTTGATGCATTTATAAGGCCAGGTTGGGTCAGGTCAGGTCAGGTCAACCAGTAGGGGTCCTGCCGGGTTGGAATTCGTCGTAGGTGTCAACCGCCTCTAACAGCTTCGTAACATGTTACGAAGGCACCAAAACTACTTCGTGAATGCTGAAATGGTTGCTAAATTCGAAGTTAGCTCCAAAACTAGCCTACAAACATGTAAAACTCGAAAAAGTGAACCGAGGTCATCAAATTAGGTCGATGACCTGACCTGACCTTACCTTCAAGTGACCTTGACACCCACCCTAATGCACGGGAGCAGCATCATATCACATGCTTGAACGCTTGAAACCACGAAAAGACTGCTAACGCGCGGTTAATGCCAGCCATGTGCCGAATTGCGATTCCGGCCAAACATGGTCTTGAAAAGTAGGTCACAGGTCAAAGGTCATTTGGCTCAGGGTCATGACACTTTTCAGGGTAGGTGTATAATTGATTATCGCGAGGGTGCTGAAAGTTTCGTCGTGATCGGCAGCTTTTTACGCGAGTTATTCGCGAAAAACTGAGGTGGGGTCCGTTTGACCCTCCCCCATACGGGCGAGGGTAATACCTTCGCCCGAATAGGGCGGCGGTCGAACGGACCCCTCCCCTTCGGTTGCTAATTGATCATCTTTGTCCACCTGAGTAGGAAGTGGGCACGTTCCTGGTCCTGCATGGCCTTACCTACGGCAGGGAGGCTCTTCACGTTTCGGTATGCTTTGTACCGCCAGCGTCCGGGTCATCAGAAATAATGCACTTTAGTGCATGGCTCGAGCCATCCTGTTGGCAATCGAGCACAATTCACACCTCAAGAAAGCATGTTCAGTTACATAACAATCCTTTTCAGCCATCCGCAGGCTGCATCTTTCACAAAAATCAACTTCAAAAGTTACCCACTTCACATAGACCATCTATAGGGGCCGGGAACTTCTGACCACTTGCAGGTGGCGCCACTGCGCCCCCATGCGGGAACGATTCCGTGCCGGCCGCGGCGCGGCAGTGGGCCGTCTAGGTTACTATAGAGGTCAATGCTCTTTTTAGCAATACATTATTGACGCGTCAATGACAAAAAAAGGCGGAAAGTTTTTTGTTGATTGCTTGGATTGGAATTTTAAAAAAAATGGTTCGTGATTGTGTTGGGTTTCTGTTCTTGGGAATGGGGTATGGGCATAGCTATGGGTATGGGACAGGCGGGGGACCATCAAAGCGTCCAAAACCGCAGCATCCAAAGTACGCAACATCCAAAACCGCAGCGTCCAAAGTACGCAACGTCCAAAATACGTCCAAAATCGGGTATATAGGGAGCATTCACAACGTCCAAAACCGAAACATCCAAAACCGCAGCATCCAAAACGCATCATCCAAAAACGCAACATCCAAGGACGCATCATCCAAAGTACGCAACATCCAAAGTACGCAACATCCAAAACCGTTAGGTTAGGTTAGGTTAGGCTAGGTTAGGTTAGGTTTCCTTATCCCCGGTAGGCATAAATCAGTAGGTTAGGTTAGGTTAGGTTAGGTTGCGTTAGGTTAGGTTAGGTTAGGTTAGGTTAGGTTAGGTTGGGTTTCCTTATCCCCGGTAGGCAAAAATCAGTAGGTTAGGTTAGGTTAGGTTAGGTTGGGTTAGGGATAGGCAAAAATCAGTAGGTTAGGTTAGGTTCGGTTAGGTTAGGTTGGTTTTGGATGTTGCGTGCCTTGGATGTCGTGGTCTTAGACGTTGTGGTTTTGGAGGTTACGTACTTTGGATGTTGCGTCTTTGGATGTTGCGTGTTTTGGATGATACGTTTTTGGACGGTGCGGTTTTGGATGTTTCGGTTTTGGACTTTGTGAATGCCCCCTATAAACCCGATTTTGGACGTATTTTGGACGTTGCGTACTTTGGACGCTGCGGTTTTGGATGTTGCGTACTTTGGGTGCTGCGGTTTTGGACGCTTTGATACGGACCCGGGACAGGCACCTAAGGTACCACTTTTTTGGTATTAAACGATAGGAAATTAAAAATAATAATGTAAGTTTCCTCAAAAAAACTTAGAAACTTAAAATTTCTTTGGAAATTGATTAAAATGATAAGGAAAAAACAGTGATCTGATTGGCTGAAAAAGTCGTGACGTCACGACCTCAGTGATTTGCGCATGTCGTGTGCTGAGACATAAATGGCGTGGCAGAGACAATCGTTTTTGCGTTGATTTGTATAGGCACTTCGGTGTTTGATGTTGGGAGAGGTTAGGTCGTTCGTGCGTTATTATCTCCAGTTAAATCTACTTTGAGGTTCAGTGTATATTTCTAGAGGATCCCAGTATGACTAGTAAACGTAGCAATAACAGCTTAGAGCCTGGGTTTGAGAAGGCAACTCCCTTGAACTTGCCATCTCTCGGGGAGTCGGCGTTGGCTCGATTTCTGAGCACTGCTGACGAGTTCGTCTCGGCTGAGTTTCGGTCGAAGAAGTTGCAGAAGTAAGTTAAATGATTATCTCATGTGCATGCACAGGGCCGGCGCCACAGATTTCGGACTGCGGGGGCAGCTTGTCCCGATAAAGGGCCCATGGCGGAAAGGCCCAAGCTAACCTATACTCAAAATCCGAAAACTCCTGGGATTTGGCCCATTATTTTTCGAGAAGGGCCCAAATTATGCAAAAAATGCACGTTCCTGCCATTTTTTTTTAAGGGCCCGGCTGGCAACTGGGGGGGGGCAGCTGCCCCCTGCCCCCCCCCCCCCCCTGTGGTGCCGGCCCTGTGCATGCAGAGGTTTTGTTACCTGTTCATTTGCAGTTATCAGGGCATATCAGTCCTGATTTTGGTCAGAAATGGGACCAATACTATAAGGAGAGATCCACTGCTGGATTTTAATAATTGGGTTGGGAAAACCGTGGTCATCTGTTCCATTTTTGGAAGCTTCCATTTTTTAGTATGCTGTTCCAAAAATGGAGGGGCATCTTCCAAAAATAGGTAGGTAAGTTCCATCCTTAAATGGGTATGGAAATGACCTTTCATATTAGAGCCAGAGCTGCGGACAAATTTAACATTTTAACAAATTTAACATTCTCGAATATAGCCACCTACCTTATTGAAAAGAGCACTTGTTACTTTCAAAAATCAATCTTTACCAGCCCCATTAAAATATCACTTTTTACTAAGCTCACATCTCTGACCATGTGGCTAGTTGTCGCCCCCACAGGATTGTTTGAAAAATGGGTAAATGTCAAGTTTAAGTCCTAAGAAGATTTCATTGATAAATTTTTCATATTTTTACATTATTTGACATCCTGAATCCAAAAATGATACTCATATGTCTCGCAAATAAAAGAAAAAAACATATTCAAACCTGACCTAACCTTACGAAGTAGTGTAGTTGGAGTAGTTGGACGAAGTAGTGTCTGAACCAGATTTAACCAGGTTCAAATCCATGTTATCTGTGACACTGGGTGATACCCTGTTTGTATACTAATCTCTAGTGCGTATCTAAATGAATTGTGTCCCATGACCGTTAACTGTGTTCCGATTATAATGTTGCTGTTTGTATCTTGTCACTCTTGTAAACTCATTCATTTGGCACTTGTGGGCTCACTTTCCCGTTTGGATGTGTTCTCATCCATCGGGCGAGCTCTTTCTATGCAGGTTCCTTCCCTTCTCCCCATCCCTGCATTCATTTTGGCTACTCTCAGACCAAGGGAACCCCAAACAGGTGAGTTACCTACTTACCTATAACCTACCAACCTACCACCTACAAACCTACCCTAACCTAACCTAACCTACAAACCTACCTACCTACAACCTAAAACCTACAAACCTACAACCTAACCTAACCTAAAACCTTTTTTTTTTTTTTTTTTTTTTTAGTGGCCCTTACTTACGTTACCGGCCTCGCGAGGAGGGCGGCGACCTAACTACACCGCGCAAAAGAAACCGGCCGTCCTAACTAAGACCGGTGGCCACTTTACTGCAAGACAACATGGGAAAACCCATATCCATGTACTATGCCATGAATATGGGGGAAAAACCCATGAATTTACGTTAAGACACATAAATGACAGCGAGACTTACCGTTAAATTGAAGTTTGTGAGGGGAGGGAAGGAGGAAGTTTGTGAGTGGTAGGGTTACGATGTTACGATGAAAGTTGGATGATATGAATGGTTTGAAGGCTGGGGGATATGTCGCTGCCGCTGTTGAAGGCCGATTGCTGTACCAGGGCCTGTGGTCGCCCAAAACCCGGCCGCAGCCGCTGTTCAGCGGCCGGGTCCGTGACTGAAGAACTTGGCCGCTGCTCGTCGTTGTGCAGTGGGTGAAGGGACAGTCCCAGAGTATGTGGACCGTCCCTTGCGATGATAGCGAGGATGAAAAAAAAAACGCTTTTCGCATTCGTTCGGCGACTATATAGTCCTTGTAATGCGGTATGCCTAAGGTCAAGTAATGGTGAATACTTTACAGTTTGTCGGAATAAGGTGAGTTTAAGACAAAATCAAGTACTAGATCAGTTAATGCTGGATCATCTCCGAGAAGAGTCGGAAGATCGTTTCTGAGGCGATATTTTGTAAGGTGGTTGTTGATATGTTTTCGTTCGTTGCGGAGGGCTGTGCATCCGATTAGAATGTGTTCAACCGTAATGCGTGTGTTGCATGTTTGGCATATTGGTGGGTCCGTCCTTTCGAAAAGATGACAGTGGGTGAAACGAGTATGTCCGCATCGTAGCCTTGCCAGTGTAACCTCGCGAATCCTATTTGGCTGGTTGCAAGTTGTCCAGGATGTAAGATTTTGCTTGATCGCATATAAATGAGGAGAGTGGGTTTGATTCCATTTGTTTTGTAGGTAAGTATTAAATTTTGTTCGAAGTTTGTGGCAGACGTCCCCGATCGAGAGAGGCACCCCACTAGGGTCTGCTCTCATTGCTCCTTCCTTAGCGAGGGTGTCTGCCATCTCATTCCCTGCGATGCCACAATGACTTGGCACCCAAAGAAAAGTTATATGCTGACTTTCGTCTAGTTCTAGTAGCATTTTGTGGATATTTTGGATGCAGTAGTGGGTGACGTTATCAGTTCTTTCTAGAGCCTGAAGGGCAGATTTGGAATCGGTGCAGATTATTGCCTGTTCAATGTGAAGTGTTTGTATATGACGGACTACCGTTTGAATAGCGTGAACTTCTGCTGAAAAAATAGTGGCATGGTCTTGCAGGCGTATTTTGTATCTAATATTCGGGCCCACGGCTGCCGCGCCTGTTTGGTTTGAAAGACATGAGCCGTCAGTGTAGAAGAATGTGGAGTCTAGGTTTCTCTGTACATACTCATGGAACAGCAGTTGGGCATCCATTGGCGAAATGTTAGATTTTGAATCGTTAAAAAGATATTCAATGGAAATGTCTCGCAGGAGCCAGAAGGGAAGCATAGGCGGTTTAGAGGCAACGTTTATTTGGCCAATGTTGAGTATCTCATGAGCCTGATTTATAATTTCGGGAAGGAAGCACGACCTGCGGAGAGGTTGCCGGGAAAAGGGTTTCCTGGCTTCCATCGCTGGAATTGCAGAATGGTTCGGAATACTTTTGGCGCGATAGTAGTATCGTAGGAAAAGGAAGAAACGGCGGTCTTCTAGTGCTGGCAGGTTTGCCTCCGTTCGCAGGGAGAGTGTCGGTGTTGTGCGGAACGCCCCGGTTATCATCCGTAAAGAATTTGATTGTATGGCTTCGAGGCGTTTACAAAGAGTGGGCGAGAGTGTACTAAAAAGGTAACAGTTGTATTCGAGAGTAGATCGGATGAGTCCTATATAAAGCATTGACAACGTTTTTCTGTCCGCACCCCAGGTAAAACCTGAGATGCATCTAAGGGCGTTTATTCTTTTAAGACAACGTGTCCTGATGTGCTCTACGTGGAGTCGAAAAGTCAGATTTGAGTCCAAGATTATCCCCAAAAATTTGTGGGATGTGTAAAACGGGATTCTATTTCCATCAATCTGTGGCGATTCGTCCAAGGACGGTAGAGGTCCCCTTTTAAAGACCATCAGAGCTGACTTAGGAGCTGACAGAAAGAAGCCCCATTTCTTACACCATTGGACGCAGTGATCGATTACCTTTTGAATAATTGAAAAGGCTTGTTTATAGCTTTTGTGGGAGACCCATATTGCGATATCGTCGGCGAAGAGTGAGTAACGGACAGAGAGGGTAAGAAACCGTGGAAGTGATAAAAAGAGATCATTAATAGCGATTAGAAATAGGGTAGGTGACAATACACTTCCTTGGGGTACACCGTGCTCCATTCGGAAAGCGTCAGAGAGCGTGGTTTGACAACGAACTCTGAAGGTGCGAGGTTTGAGGAAATTACGAAGAAAGATGGCCAAATGGCCTCTAATGCCGATTGAATGGAGTTTGTTCAGAACCGTCGAGCTGTGTACTTTATTAAAGGCAGAAACTAGGTCCAGGAAAACAGCAACTGTTGGTTGGCGACGTTCCCAGTTAACTTGAATGTCAGAGATTAGACGAACGACATTATCTGCCGTGCTGTGGTGTTGACGAAATCCACTTTGGCAAGAGTCTATGCATTTTTTATCTTCCAGGTAGTAACGCAAGCGGGTGATCACCATGCGCTCAAAGATTTTGCAAATACAGTTTGTGAGAGAGATTGGGCGGTAGGAATTTGGGAGTTGAGCGTCTTTGCCTGGTTTTAGAATCGGAACGATAATACTCCTGAGCCATTCGTCCGGGAAGGAATCATTTAACCAAAGATTATTTAGAGCGATGAGTAGAGTGGATAGGTTTAGTTCGTCTAGGTTGATGTAAAAAGCGTAAGGAAGACCATCAGGGCCTACTGACGTCTTGGGGCTGGCCTTTGCCAAAGATAATTTAAGTTCGCGAAGGGTAAAAGGAACGTTATAGGACTCAGTATTAGCTGAGGAAAAATCAAGATTATTGGTTTGGCTGATAAGGATTCGATGAGTATTTGGATCGTAAATCTCTGTCGAGGAAGCGGCTGCAAACTGTCTGGCGAGAGCATTTACGACTTCAGGCGGGGCCGTTATGAACGTGTTGTTTATACGTAGTTGGGGGAAGGGGCGTGGAGCGGTTCTTCTGGAAGCAAATGACCGAACTTGGGACCATATCTCGCTGAGGGGGGTGAATCGGTTACACTTAGCAGCGTAATTTTCCCATGCTTCCTTTTTTTCCTTATATATAATTTCAGCACATTCTTTTCGTGCTGCTGAATAGAGGTGGGCGTGTCTATCACAGATACACCTTTGAAATTGCTTGTATGCCCTTTTCCGCAAAGCCTTGGCTCGCTGACATTTCCAATTCCACCAGGGTGGATTTTTAGGTAAATTTGGGCCACCGACTTTGATGGTTTTTTCTTTTATCGTTTCACTGGCTGAAGCCCTTACTGCGTTTATGAAGTTCGATATCGTACGGGTCATGCTGTAAGGGGAATGACGGTTGACACTCGCGTTAAATGCTTTCCAATCAGCCTTACCCGTTTTCCATATTTTGCGTTCAGTTATAGGAGACAGGGGTGTGGCGTTGGCAAGCTCAATGGTTATAGGAAAGTGGTCTGAGAAAAGGGGGTCCGATGACACATTCCATTTGAAAAGCGGGGCTATTCTGGGGGAAGAGATTGATAGGTCAATGGAGGATGTTGAATGATAGCTGTGGCTGATGAAAGTCGGAGTTCCATCATTCATAGTTATAAGAGATTGGCGGTTGAGTTCAGTCTCTATGATCCGCCCTCTTGGAGATAGCTGTTGGCTGCCCCATAAAGGACTGTGGCCGTTGAAGTCGCCTAGCATCAAACAGTGTTCAGGCATTTGTCTAAACAGAGCATTTATGGTATCACGGTTAACAATGTTTGAGTTGGGTGGCAAGTACACCGATGCGACCAAAACCTCTCGATTAAACAAGGAAATTGTTACTGCTACCACATTAAGTGTGGAAGCCAAGATTGTTTGACGCTGAGGAAGAGAGTTCGCTACATATAGTGCAACCCCTCCCTGTCGATTTGGCATATTTATGTCATGTCTATACAATGTGTATCCAGGAACATCATAATTGTAGTGATCAGAGTTTCGAAAATGCGTTTCTTGAATTGCTGCTAGAAGAGGAATTTCTTTTTGTAGAAACTGCTTAAATTCTGATAGATGTGAGAGAAGACCTCCTACATTCCATTGAAGAAAATGCATGGACACTGCTTACAGCAAGGGGCTGTGATGACCTATTCAGGAATGAAAGACCGTTTGGTCACAGGCTGCGATCGTACGCCCATGTTCTTCTTTTTGACTGTGCGTGATCGGAGGCGAGTGCTCGGTGTCTTCTGGGTGAATTGCGTCAGAGACGAGTCAGAGTCACTATCGCTATACATGGCTGGCGATCGCTGCACGGAGAAAAGAGAGCGACTGTTTGGCGTCTCCTCCTCATCGGTGAGATTCTCTGTTTGCTCACGACCTGTCGAGTCATCAGAGTCGAGGGCCCTGGACCGCAGTATCGGAGTTACTGGGGAGGGGTCAGTGAGCAAGGGGGTTCTGTCCTGCTCGATCTCTCCGTTCAGTTCTGATGCTTGGGCCGGGGGGCGACCCTCGGTGCTTTCACGCACGAGCTGGGGCCCCTTTGTCGGTTTGGTTGCAGGAGCCTGTGAGAGAGAGAGCTGTAGGACGCAGGTCGGGGCTTGGGAGCAGCTCGCCGGGACCTGTCACCAGAAGGGTCAGCTGTTGGGGTAGTCAGCTCTGGCCAATCGCGCTCCTGGTTGAAGGGACTGGCCTGAGGGATCACCCTTGCTTGGGTCCGGGTTTGGTTGGACGGCTGTGGGGCTACACCTCGAAGCTCGTTGGCCTTTTCCTTCCAGACAGGGCACTCCCTGCTGGTGACTGGGTGGGGGCCTCCACATGCCGCACAGCATGGTGGGGCATCACAGCCAAGGGTTGGATGGTCTCCAGCACACCTTGCGCATCTTTCCGTGCGAGCCCTGCACGTGCCCCTGCCATGTCCATATCTCTGACACCTGGGGCCTGTTTCACCGCCCGACGCTGCGCGCGCTGCAGCGCGCTGGGAGCTGAGGCGTACCCGGCGTACCCCTGACGTCACTCGAATGACGTTGCGTGCGATCCGTTAGCTTATGATGAATCACGTTTGGAACAGAGGTCCTAAAGAACCAAGTACAGAGAGAACAGAAGTTTGAGTGCGAATGCTGCTAGCGTGCTGATGGTGCTGGCGCTTGGGTGCTAGCGTTTTACGATGACGTCATAGCGTAGCGTCAGAGGAAAGTTTGTTGATATTGCCATGGAAACCCAACGCGCCGACGCGCGCAGCGCACTGCAGCGCTCCGCCGTGAAACAGGGCCCTGGTGCAGCGTCGAGGGAGTTGGAATGAGGGCCTCACCTCGTACCGCACATATACAGCATAGAAGTGAGCTGGAAGTTGCGTTGCAGAGAACCTGACTTTGAGAAGCGGGTTGGGTTTGTTGTTTTTGGAAGGAAGTCGAGTGATGCTCACTACTCCCTGGTCGCGGCTTTCATGGAGGATAGTTTGAGGCGATTCTGTCATGAGCTCTGGGGCATACACAATGCCCTCAACCTGATTAAGTCGATCAGCAAGAATCACAGATATTTCGTCCTCTCCGAACGAGGTCCATGCCAGAAGCGCATCAGTCTGTTTGGCATCCTGTGTTTGAACTAGAAGAGTTCCACTTCGCAGGGCAGAGACTTTGGCTGCTGGGTAATACAGAACCTTCAGAAGTTCATCCCGGATTTTGTATGGGCTAAAATTTCGAAAGCTTTTGTCTTTGTTTTTAAATCTAGCAAGAACGTAGGCTGGGCCGCCTGGGACAAACTTTCCTTCCAGCGTGGCAGTGACCGCCTTGGAGAAGGCAGGCGGCATGGTCAGATAGAGAACAAAGGACCTTGATTATGAAAAGTCTCTAGAAAAGTAAAGAAGAAAGCGAAAAGAATGGACAATACGACCTGATGAAGTAGACAAGATGGCGACGTGCAGACGCTAACTTCAACCAACGCGCACGGAAAACTTCAAAACCGAAAACTAAGTACCAAACAGAGGCTCCAAGAAATTTGTGATTTGTGAGATTAGAGAAATGAGCCGAGAAAATAGCTATATCGCAACACCTATCGTCAAAATATCGAATAACTCTTCGACACGTGGCTGTTGGAAGCCTCTTGGTGATCGCTCAGGGCCTAAAAATACAACATGCAGTTGCGGCGTCCTAAAACCTAAAATTTTTGCTGTTTCATATTCGTATCAAAAGCGCCACAATTGTAGTTAGGACCTAAACTTGACATATACTGAAAAATGCACATAGCACAGATTGACCAGAGAGCTGGGCTTGGTATATTTGGTAGCCAGCAACCAAATCTGCCAAGCTCTCTGTGCTATCTTTGTTGTTTCTGCAAATGTATATTCCGACAATCTGGAATCTCACTTTTTATATTTTGAAAGGGTACCCAACAATGGAAACTTCCAAAGATGAAACAGATGACCACTGTTGTCCCAACTGGATTTTGATTTCAATTTGAGTATTTTTCATGCTCAATGCTTACAGCATATCACCTGTTTTTTGTGTGTGAAAGATTCACATCTGTATGTAAGTGTGTTGTCCTCAGAGGAGGTATATTGATGTGGATGACGTGAAAGATGGTACCTGTAAAGTGTTGATGAAGACTGTCATTACAGCTTAGTGCTGGAAAGCGTGTCATGAAATACCTATAATTTGTGCCTCATATTGCTTCTTATATTTTATAAACTGGTGTTTATCACAATCTACACATTATAAGTGGCCCTGTGATAGTGATATTCAGTGTTTATGGTCCTGAGCCCTGATCGGCGGCCGGCTAGTACTCTTGCCCGCGCTCACATACGTGCACGTTACCCCGGCAACGGGCTATTGACCAATGAGAAGCGAGAAAAGTGTTACGTCACTGCGATTTTTCATATACCTGTGCCCCCCGGACGTGACGTAGTGTGCTCGCGCGCGTGCAGGGTCTCTGCGATCGAAAAAGAGCGCTAGCAGCGCGCCACTCGACGCCGCAATTGTCAAAAGCGGCGTGTTAGTATGCTTTATTGTGAATGATGTGTGTAAAAGTGAGTTTTTATGTTGTTAATTTGGAGGAAATGGTTGGAATAAAATAAGTTATTTTTATTTCTATTGGTTGGAGTTTTTATTCAAAAGATTTCGGACTATAGCATTGATATTTACTGAAAATACCTTAGTTTGAATAAATTGCAGATATTTGGCAACTGAAGTGTAAGGTAAGCCTAAATGATACGTAAAAAGGTAAGAGACACCCTGATTATCATTTGAGAAACGAAAATATATGAATTTCCCTTATAAGACTCGCTCAATATGCTACTCCGCGGTTTATGCCCCGAGGGTGTCCGAGGGTTCCCGTTAGTTTGTCGTTGGCGCTCGGCTTGCGCGCGAGCTGACGTCATCGCCCGTGACGTCGGCTCGCGGAATGCGTCATACCCTGCACACAAAATAGCCGGCTGCCGAACAGCGCTCTGTTCATACTTGACTTCAAAATTGCACCCACAGTCCGGAGCGCTGTTCGGCAGCCGGCTATTTTGTGTGCAGGGTATGACGTATTTCGCGAGCCGACGTCACAGGCGGTGACGTCGGCTCGCGCGCGAGCCGAGCGCCAACGACAAACTAACGAGAACCCTCGGACACCCTCGGGGCATAAACCGCGGAGTAGCATATTGAGCGAGTCTTATAAGGAAAATTCATATATTTTCGTTTCTCAAATGATAATCAGGGTGTCTCTTACCTTTTTACATATCATTTAGGCTTACCTAACACTTCAGTTGCCAAATATCTGCAATTTATTCAAGCGAAGGTATTTTCAGTAAATATCAATGGTATAGACCGAAATCTTTTGAATAAAAACTCCAACCAACAGAAATAAAAATAACTTAATTTATTCCAACCATTTCCTCCAAATAAACAACATAAAAACTCACTTTTACACACATCATTCATAATAAAGCATACTAACACGCCGCTTTTGACAATTGCGGCGTCGAGTGGCGCGCTGCTAGCGCTCTTTTTCGATCGCAGAGACCCTGCACGCGCGCGAGCACACTACGTCACGTCCGGGGGGCACAGGTATATGAAAAATCGCAGTGACGTAACACTTTTCTCGCTTCTCATTGGTCAATAGCCCGTTGCCGGGGTAACGTGCACGTATGTGAGCGCGGGCAAGAGTACTAGCCGGCCGCCGATCAGGGCTCAGCACAGGTACAGGCACAGGTATTGAATTCTGCTGATTGCTTTCTCTCTTTTTCAGTTCTGCAAGAGAAGACTATGGCGATGAGGCTGTGGGGTATGTGCAAGTTCAGCTGAGGCAAGATGTGTCAGTTGTTTTGGGAAAGGTGACACCAGAACATAAGGTGAAGCAGCCCCCCTACTCTGTTGCTGTCCAGATCATTAACAGCACTGGGGAGATCGAATTCGCCAGATGTTATGGCTGTGCAGCCCAGATGGGTGGCTGCAAACATGCTGTCGCGTTCATCTTCTGGCTGTACAGAAGAACAGTCGAGAAGGCGGTCACTGAAGTCCAGTGCTACTGGACAAAGCCAAGACTGTCCAAGGTGGGCACTCTGAGCCCTGTGAAGGCAAAACAGCTCGTCCAGAAGAGCAAGCACCAGATGGGTCCTCTGCCTCCTCAGCCGAACTTTCTCCAGCAAGTGCTCCAGAAAATGGACCAGAGTGGCAACTCGAATGTCACTGGGGTGGTGTTTGCCATGTGCCAGGCGACATCATCAAACTGCAAGGCTGCTGAAATGAAAGTGCTGTGCCAGGGCTGTCCTGATGTGTCTGCAGTGTGTTCTTTCTTGGCTGGAAAAGTGACTGCAGAAATGGTGGCAGATGTGTGTGCTGCCACCAGAGGGCAATCGCAGTCACCCGCATGGTACCACCTGCGGTTCGGAAGGGTGACTGCATCAAGGCTGTATGAAACAGCACACTGCAAGACGGCTGCTGGATCGCTCGTGGAAAGCATGCTGGGGTATAGGAGCACTGCAGGATCCCAAGCCATGCAGAGGGGACTGGCGCTGGAGCCAAAGGTGCTGAAGTCGGTGTCCAAGCGCCTGTGCACACCAATCACTGCGACAGGCCTGCACATTCTGTCAGACAGGCCGATGTTCGCCGGAAGCCCGGATGGCCTGTGCACTCTAAATGGAGTGCAGCATGTAGTGGAGGTGAAGTGCCCCGTGTCAGTAAAAACTGTTGAAAAGTATGTGGACGAGGCCGGTGCCATCTTCCCAAAAGTGAGAGCACAGCTTCAGCTACAGATGCTGGCGGCTGGTGTGGAGCATGGGCTGTTGTGTGTGGCAGACCCACAGTTTGAGAAAAGTGGAGCTGTGTGCGTGGTCTATGACGAGCTGGACATGGGCTTCCTGGGACCGATCATGGACCAGGCAGAGCGGTTTTGGCGCATGGCGGTGCTCCCCATGCTTCTGTGAGCTTCTGTGTGCTTCTGTGTCATGCAACAGAGAGATAACTATGGGTTTCGCGGGCATGCTGATGTGCCTGTCTGGCCTGTCACCGTCCACGTTGCCACCACGTTGTCATGTGTGTTGGATCACCCCATCGTTGATGTTCATTTGATGACGTGCTGTTGCTTCGATTGCTCTGTGCGTGTTCCCACAGGTCGTGGTGCTGTATCATGTTCTGTCTCAGAGTTTGTGTACTTCGTGCATTATGGCTGCGGTTATAACTGTTTTGCATACGAGATATTTGAATAAATCCTGTACAGTGGTGCATATGTTCGTGTTTTGTTGTTGATATTCTCGCCCAGTGTCGTCAAATCAAACTCAACTAAACGAAATGAACGGCCGCCAGGTCCTTTACTTAGACAATAGCGAAATGAACTGAACTGAAGCATTAGTCGAACACAGTGAACTGAACGGAAGCTGGAGTTAATGAACTGTTCCGGCACTGGTCTCCACCTATCCCACGTCTTCCGCTTGTCGCTACGTTGCGCCGTTTTCGAGATTTCAGGGTGGGACACCCCCCCCCCCCCCCCTGCAGTTCGTGTTCGGCTTAGGACCCCTACAGTGCGCGTGTTAACTCTGACTCAATTGAGCACTTACTTTTTAATGAATGCTGAACTGATTTCCGGTCTCTGCAAATATG